CACTTACAAAAAAATTAAATATAACTATCTATTAAATTCTTTTAAATATGACAAATAATTTAACAAATAGCTTGTGAAAAATAACAAAATATACATTTTGCTGTTGCTTACACATTAGGTATATAACAGCATAATATAATATATTTGTATTAATTTTCATTATTCTATATTCATCTATTAATCTATAAAACTAGTTGAAATTATTATTATTATAAATAATTAGATATTTTGTGTTTATGAAAAGACTCAAAATGGTTTAAAATTTAAATATTTAAATATTTAAATATAACTTGTACTGATTAATATTGTATAACTTAAGTCTTAAGTAAATAACCATGATTGGGTAAATAAGTTATTGTTGAGATTAAAATATGAGTAACTCAATTGACATCTAATTCTCACAAATTACCTAACATTCCCTACTTTTAAATATTATGAATATTATAGGTAGGTATGTACTTATAAGTACCTGCATTCTACAGCCACGAACACAATTGACACGAATTCACCGAGAGATACAGTTTAGGATTGTCTACTTGTATCAGATTACACCAATTTTCTCCAATGAACGAGTTAAACTTAAATTTGAAGTATAGGTACCTATGAGTGATTACACTGTATGAAAAGGTTTTAGAATTTCTTAGCATAACGCGTTTGTCGAGTTATTTTTACTCTTAGGTTTTTGCTGCTCCCATTTTGTCGCAAATAAATTACGTTCAAGAATTTCATTTCCCGTCCACATTGTCCCTCAGGACTCGATTTCCCCTTACCCCGGACTGTACGTCACCAGTTCTAAGTCGTTTTAACACGGAGTATATACGTTCCCACACACACATATATTTATAAAATGTACCTTCCAGCGAGCGTGATGTTATAAAGTTTTTTGTATATATATATATATTTTTTTTTTTTTCCAATAGAAAACTCATTCATGAGGAAGACACTTTAGATTTAATCGAATCTGACCTGATCGTTTATCCTATACTATAATAATAATAATAATAACGGTAGCTCGTCGAATTCTAATTATCGATAAGTATCAGCTCGTCTGATGCTCCAGAGCATAGGAAACCCGCAGGCAACGTTTATTATACATCACAGTGGGGTCGAAAACCGAACGCGTTTGATGTTAACTAATAATGACGTACCCCAATTTCGGTCGTCATACGTACTATATATTATAATATAAGGGTAACGTTATTGTGTCATACTGTCATGGCGTTGAGTTTATTTATCATAAACCAATCACTTTTGTATTATCGTGGAAAACCACGGGAATAATAATATTACGTTTATAAATAAAATACAGGTATACTGTCATTTTACGTGAAATATAATAATTATCGTTCACAAATTGAAGACAAAAAAAAGTAAGTCCCAGAGGAGAAATTTAAAATATAAATTTTGACTTGTCACCTATACGTATACAGTTATAAACATTTAATTTGATTTATTAAAACAAAGAGAAAGAATAATTGTTACTAATTTCAAAAAGAGTAATTTGAATTTCAGACGTTCAAAAGTCGACTCGGTCGTGTAATTGTTTAAGTACTCCAAAGTAGCTGGTAACGAGATTATCATATATCCAACTTGAAAATCGAATTACTATGCACCAGCTCCTTCTGATACGATTATGTACAGTGTTTGTGTCGGAATAATGGTTCGATATTATTATAACCCATACTGCAGTGCTCAACTCGTTATCGGTAATAAAAAAATAAAATAAAATGTAACGTGTGGTAATAAATATAGTGTGATTTTACGATATAAATCACCAAACATTTCCATATAAGCCGAAATAAAATACGAATATACAATCAAATAATATTATAAAGTATAAGCATATTGTTATACAGTGTCATGTACAAAACATGAACGTATAAAAAAATATAACCACGCACTTTTCAAGTATAATATCAGGTACACAGCATTTAATGCACAATACAGTGGTATTTAATATGACGCGTCTTATTGTCGCTCACTCTGTCGTCTAGTTGAGATATTAAATCGCGAGTATTTATATACGTATATTGCTTTCTTCTCTAGGCTATGACGAGCATTTTATTACATTTGATTTCCAGGAAGTGGAAATAATAATTCTCGGCAGCGAAATCCGTATCAAAGGATGGAGCACCCTTCCCGTAGAGGGTGCTTTTATTGGCCGGAAAGATGTAATCATAAAGTCAAATTCTTGTTAAAGGGCAAAAATAACATCCCCTCGTCCTTTGCCCCCGGATTCGCAGCAACGGTGTGTGCACTGTCATATACACCGCGGGCGCATATTATTATTACCGTCTCACCGTGGCGCCGTGATACACGACACGTGGAGAAATCGAATTCCGCGAGCGCATTAAAACGGAACCGGAAAGAACTTAATTTAATAATGAACCCTGCGCGGTGCCGCGGCCACCGAAGAAAAGAAGCTTAGAGAAATTGCTTTTTGCAACATTTTTTTTCCCGCCAATTCTTACTTTTACCACTAGGGCGTGAGGCGAATGCGAATTTTTTCCCAAAGCCAATATTCCGGTCACGTATTCATCAGTGATCCGATTTTTTCTCTCCTCTATCCCACGCCCAGAAATTGACACTGCAGCCGCCCCCACGGCGAGACGACGCGACCTTTTGTCATTAAAACCTTCGCGTGCCCATTTGCATATTTATATATAATGCAATATATACATACATGATATAGGTATAGAAAAGTCGGGTTATCCGATGCTTTGGGCATTTCTCTACTTCCCGGTTAAGGTTTATTATTATAGATACACTCCACTCATTTTTCCGGCCACCCCCTGAACAAGTCACTACCAAGCCTACAACGCAGAAAAAAAAACAATACCAAGGTGGATCGTACTCGGCTAAATCAAATTACCAACTTCAGTGTATATAGTAACGACTAATGAGATTACTTTATATTTATCTGGTATAGTAGTCTATTGTATAGTGTAACAAAATGTCATAGCAGATTTATACTAAAGTCACTCCACTTGACACTTTTATAACATAAACACGAAATTATTTTATAAATAATTTAGTATGCTGCTGTAGTGCTCTCTGGTTCAATGTTTGGTGTTAATATATTGGCATTTTACAAAACTATAAGCTTTGCTTTATAATATTAGTTAAAAACATGTATAGGATAATCATTTAAAAAACAAATCTAAAAAATCAATATGATAATAATAATAATACAATTTATGAAATATTGGGTTGAAAAAAGCAATTTTACTGTAAGCAAATAATTGGCACTACTCCAGATTAATATAATTTTGATAAAAAAAAAAAAAAAAGTGATAAAATGAATGAACTACATGAAAAAGAATCACCCTGTATAGTAAGTAAACGATAAAATTTGCGTCCCTAAGCAATTTATATTATTTACGGGCACTATTCGTAGACACATTTGAATATAAGCTTGGTATCTATACGAAATATTACTATTATTGTTATTACCATGCGCAGTGTATCAGAATTGGGCGACATCTCCCGATCGATATAATATATACGCGTGTCTTTCGAATTCCAAGTTATTAAAAAACACGTATATGGATGTACATGGTGAAAAATTTTTTTGTTTATTATTTATATTTTATTGTTATAGGTACTCAAAATTGTTTCAATAATAACTATAGCCAAAGTCTTTATTAAATATATTTATATTATATACCTATTTATTGTTTGATTTATTATTTACATATTATTATCATGATAATATTTGGAAACAATAATAACTACCTATATATCAATTTAAGAAATAATAAAAATATGTAGATACTCGCAGTATACATCAAGAGTCGTGTTGGTGAAAAAAATGTACTGTAAATGCAAATTCTGGTTGGCAGAAACCACTCGGTAATAAAATATTAATTCGTTTGGCGAATGTTATTATTTTTAACATATATTATAGTAGGGTAGGTAGGTACCTAATCATTATTATATTTTATATCAATATATTATACAACACTGGTCGCTGAACCTGATTTGAAACTATCAAAGGGAAATATGAGCTTTAAACTAATTAATCTATTAGGTTAACATAAATGCCAAGTATGAACCAATTGGTTTTGTTGTTGGCAATTACAGTTTAAATATAAATTAATCAAAACCATATAGGTGCAGTGCACTCAAATTAGTGAGTAATACATTTCCGAACCTCGAGACAAACAAGTTAGACATTATATAATAGCATGATTGTTTCCCACCGTAGAGTACAATACGCGTGTAATATGTGTATATACTATATAATAATATTATAATTCGATTTATTTTCCAAACTTAATAGTATCAATAAAAGAATAATAAAAAAATGTAACTTAAAAACTTATACAATAGGTAGCCCAAACCAATATTTTTCTATAAAAAGTAATACGTCATCATATTTATTTGATTTTGATCCGCATTTTTTATACTGCAGTAACGTTCGAGTACTTTTCAATTGTACTTTTCTGGTTAACGTTGTTTACACTCGAGTATTCCGTTTTATTGTACATTACATTACGAGCTTTCTACAATAATTCTTTGCGTTTGTTTATCCATGCTTATCAACTTCACCGATGGAATATTACTTATACTGGCATCGCTCGAATGTTTCACAAGAATTCACTATTCACTTGTATACCAGGTCAATAGTACGAAAGCCAGAGCCTCAACTTATAATGCCATTGTCATAAATAATATAATCCCGAACCCGATATTGTGTCATGCAATAATGAAAATTCGAGAAGTACAGAATATTAATTTGTTTGTCAATTTACGAATGTACAATAAATATTTTATAGAATAAGACACAATAATACCATTATATTATACTTACGGTTTGTATGCGATAAATTTTTGTAGCACTATCTGTACGTATTTTCCTTACATTATAACTATTGTTGATAACCAGGCACCAGCTGACACTAAATCACCGGGCGAGGTTGAAGTTTATGGATGAAATATAATATTTTTAATTTAAACAGTGTAATACTTTGAGATATTTTGTTTGCTTTTCAGTTGTAATGCCTGGAATTTGGCCCCCCGAGGAAGCGGAAGAGCCGATTTTCTTCCCGAACGACAATAGCGTGAAGTCGAACAACGGAGGCAACGAATTACAAAGGGACGAAGTTAAATCGGCCGACCATAAAGAAGAGAGAAACACACCTGTTGGAGGTATTTCTTCTTTATTTTTATTTTAATGAAAATACTAAAAATTTCCCGAAAACTTCAGCTCACTTAGTCCGTATAGGCATGACCATATTATATTGTGGACATTAGACATAATATTATAAGACTTTGTTATTGTAAGAGCGGAAAAAAAAATACTGTAGTAGCTTATCTATTGTTTAACACAAAGTAATATTATATTCCATTAAATTGTGTATGGTGAAATTCTCTAGCGTATTTTGTATTAATAATTATAGTTGATATTGGAAACAACAATTACTATGTGACACAGATCGAGCAATTTTTTTTATATTACCGTGCGCGTTAATCCATTAGATAGGACGAGAGAGCGTATTAGCTAGAGTATAATATAATAATATGGCCGAAGAATGACCGAAGCCACCCGTACGCGTCTGTGTGTGTGTGTGGGTGTGTATATATATAAATGTACAGGAGTCGCCATTAATTGAATTGAATTATTCAGGACATTAAGTATATAATATACCATGGTGGCGGGCCGGGAAACTGCAGCACATTCGGAACAGACAATGGTCATCGGATTAATGATTCGCTCTGTAGACGGAATATGTACATATATATATATATAATAGCAATGCGAGCACGCGGGTAATCACACTACTATGTGTGTGTGTGTGTGTGTGTGTGTGTGTGTGTGTATAGTACGCGGGGTTAAATGGCTTTCAATGAGCCGAAACAAGCCGACTAATGAAGTCGCATTTTTATTTTGTCCGAAACATTGTGTACGGTGCATATAATGTATATTATAGTATTATGGCCCGGTGTTCAAGACGGATTAGGGCCAACGCAAATTATCTCCTCTCGCATTTCGACCAATTTATTTATAATCCATTCGGTACCGATATGGCGAACGATTTTCGTCAAATAAACACTAATTTCAATATAATTATGATAATATTAATATTATTATCTCACCATGTTTGTCCTTGTTATTACCCACCCGCCATCGCGGCCATTGCAGCTAGACGTATAATCATAAATAATATACTATAATGTGTATATAATGTGTATATAATATACTCTAATACCATCATATTCTTCCCTCTAATCCTACTTAAATGAAGAAAATTGTATTTATATTTTTATGTACCTTCTTGAAAATATAAATTAACTATTTACATTTTAGAGTATTAAAATAAATGAGTTTTACATTTTTAACAAATACAGAATCAACAGTTTTTATTTTTATTTTGTGTTTAGGTATTTAATATACTATTGACTGTATTTCTGTAACACCTACAGAAACATATTCCAAAATTATTAATTAAATAACAAATTATATTGACTGAAAAGCACAATGTGATATAAAAATATAAAAATGAGTGGTGCAAAGTTCAAGGTGAGAGTTCCAAGTTTTCCCATTCTCTAAAGTAAACAAAACCAAAAACTTATAAATGTAATACATTAATAGGAGCTTACATAAATTATTAACTCTATAAATGAACGTTGGACAATAACACGCCCACTCATCCATGTGCCACTTTTTCTGTTTCTTCGTGTAGGTATAATAGTAATTGTTTTTAATTGTACCCCATACAGCTATTTGAAAATGACAATATTTTTAAAACTTTTTCTCATCAAAATAAAAAAATGTTTTCAAATATATATTTTACAAATGTTTTTATGAAAAATGTTTCAATGAAAACAATTAAAAAATATTTTATTGTAATTTTTAAAAAAACATTTAATATATGCAAATGTTTTTAAAATTGTATAGAAAAATATGTAAAATGTTACTTTACTGGCCAAAAAATATTTTTAAGACATTTAAAAACGTTTTGACAATGTAATGAAAACCATTTAAAAACATTTTCGTTTCTTGAAAAATGTTTTGAAAATATATTAAAAATATTAATTTGCTGTATATGGGTACTGATTCAAAAACGGACTCCTAATGACTTAACACTTGGTATAATAATATAATGTATTTATATTATTTTATATTGTACATGTCTTCGCTTCGAACACTGCACAGCATACCTTGCTCCCAACATTCGGAAATTGAAAATTATATTTTAACCTTGTTAAATGTTTACAATTAACCTAATGCCGAAATTACATCTACTGCAAGAGCTGTTTAAATTAAGATTAAATAACAAACCCTGCATTTTTTTACAGATGTTATAATCGTGGCTTAATTGCAAAAAACTATATATATATATATATAACACAAACACGAGTATATAAATTTAGTTAAAATTAATTTTATTGGCTTTATGTACATTATTGTAGTTTTTAATTAAGCTGGATTAAATAAGTTTCATTGGCTAAAAAAATAAAACAGTAATTGAAAGTTATTATTAAACCAGATTATGGGGTATATAAATGACTTAATGAACTCACAGACGAGAGAGTCGCCGGTTGAAGTGTATATATAATAGTGAAATATATGTCTACGAATTAAAAACCAATAACAACAACTTAACTAGCTCGCTCAATAATATACGGAACACGGTCGACAGTTAAAACTTTTCGAAGGACTTCGATTTTTTTTCCGCAAGTATTTTTAAGGAAATCAGAGCGGCGCTATGCCATATTATATTGTATAAGCTGCACTGCTGCTGCACCGGTGTAATACACTTATCATAGCCAAGTCGAAATAATGTATGTGTGCAGAATTTATTAACGACGGACACAATGCTATTACCTGGCATTAAGTATTAACATATAAAATACACATCATACGTGGCGCACATATTGTGTACAACAATATAACGCGCACAATGCAATATACATTTGGATTTTACTTCGGTAGAAATGTGTAGGTATAGTAATAACACACCCACCGCGCCGGTGCTGCTATTTGATTTGCCTGAAATTTTCTCCACGGAAATACAAACTCGAGCCGAGACAAATGTATTATACTACTGAGCTGCAAAGCCGGGGCAGTGTCCGTAATTTAAATTTCAGGGTTTACTGAATTGTTATTTCACGGGTACGCGTTACTATAATATAACGGAACAACTCCTTTGGGTACTCCTCCTCGGGATCGGAGTGTAATGCGTTTTTGAAACGCTATAGTAAAATAGACGAGTTTAAGGTGGACCGTTCCGAGGGCATTATTACCGCGTCGTGCTTATATTTATATATATACGATTATATATATGATTCGGAAAACCAATTACGGCGACTCTCGCGCGATAAATCGTATTACGAAAAAAAAAATAAATACGTTCATATGCAGTCCTACACACGCTTTATTGTATACATTATTTTCATACTTACGACTTGTATTGTTAATGGAATAATTTAGATTATCGTCGTCGTCGTCGTCGGCCTATTTCGTTATATTGTTATAAAATATATAATAAACGTAACGCTGCAGTGTTGTTCTCCGACGGGCCCGGTCGGATCGCGAGCCATTTATAGTGTCGATATACATTTGTTATCTTTATGAGCTTTTCGCATTCTTTTAATCAATAAATATATATGAAAACGTTATACACCCTCATCTGATATATTTAATGTTTATAGCTTTTAATACTTTTAAAACTTTTATCGGTCGTAATTTTTGCATATTATACTACCTACTTCGTGTCGGTGAATATACGCGTTTTCGTGACCCCAATATCGGATATAATAATATAATCCCACGCCATATATACTATATATATATATATACATTATCACTGATGTAAATATAAACATAGTTATGTGTATGTGTGTATAGGTGTGTAATAATAATATGTGTATTGTGAATATATATTATATTATAATATATAGTAAGGTAGATACGGATGAAAACTATCGAACCATCTTTTCACTATAACATGGCGGCCACCGCCACTGTCAATATTATAATATTTTGTCTAACATATTAGTGTTATGTGGAAATATTAAATAAGCGTGTTTTATATAAACGGTTAATTTAAATTCCTTTTGGGTTACCTAGTTTAAACACATTTAAATTATTTTGGACGATTAAAATAAATGTATACATACGCATGTCGCATATAATATGTACACACTAAGTGATTAATTCATTCTCAGCCACCGCCACGCGATATTAACACAAATAAATTTGAAACAAACCGATTCGTACAATACGACGCGTAAAAGCTATTTTGAAAATTTTAATGAAATTCATACCTATTTAATAAACAACAATAAACCATCTAAAAACTCATCTCTTATTGATCTTATTCTAGACCCTACTCTACAATACCTACCCTTTATCAGTTTTTTCTATACATATATATATATATATTAATTTAAATAAAGTGTAACCGCTTCTGGGTTACTTTTTTCGAGTAACTCATATAATGTTTATCTTAGCACGTATTATTAGTTTAAATAAGTTCTTTCAGACTATTAACATTAAAAATATTAATTTATAACATGGATGGAATATTGGAATATCTTAATAATACGAGTATATTTTTTTTTACATTGGTTATTCGGGCAGATCAGGTACAAATGTATCAAATCGAATTTTCGCACATTGCAGCCTACCAAGATGGCTGAGTTGTACTTATAGCAAGGATGTATTACCTACTTGATAACTGACAAATGTTTAACAGAAATTAATAAATTCAAACAAGGAAATCAACTTAGAAATCATGCAAGAGGTACAAAAACACTTAACATTTATACAAATATAGATTGTGAAAGAAATATAATTTTAAAATTTGTATAAATCATTACTTACTGAGTATAATATTATACTACCCATAAAAAATAAATCATAATATACATTCCTATAATACTATATATTTTATAGGTTTCCAGTAATACTTAAAGCGAAGGTATATAAACTGTAAATATAATTTTATCAATTTAGGTATTATGTTTTGTTTTTTTTCTTTTGATTGAATTATGATAAAATCTAGTGTTTTCGAAAAGAATATTCTTAATCAGATCTTTGAAATTATTTAGATTCATAAATTTGTCGATTTAAGCGAAACAAATGTACAAACAAAAATAAGAAAGAAAAAACATAATGTAAGGGAATATTATTCGAGGAGAGA